TTATTTTGATACAACAGATATATATGAACAGAATGCATTAAGTTACAGTATGCAATAAGCTGTAAGACATCATTTCTACTGTTATTAACAGATATCACTGGCACTCATAAGCAGCAGTAAGTTTAAGGCAATAATAACAATGACAATGACAATGACCACTGTCACACTATCAATGTTTTACCACCAATTTTCCAAAGCAAATTCAGGTTTAAATGTTACTATAAAATAATTTGGTTGACTTTGGTAAATGAAAAAAAATTAAGGGGAGCTCTGGTGGCCTAGTGGTAAGGAGCTGCAACTACAATCCCAGAGGCGCACGGTTCAAATCCACCAGATGCTCTGCCGGGAAAAGGAGGGACAATCTCCTCCTGTACCAGTCAGATCTGATTTGACGGTACACTCACACAAAAATAATAAAATAAAAATTTAAGAAAAAAAATTAAAACAAGAACTTTTTAAGCAATTCAAATAATATACATATACATATGCATATACATATATATATTAAATACTTTTAAAAGTTAAAAACACAGTGTAAACCATTGTATTATACAGTAGTCTATTTAATATAACTTATTCCAATGTGATTAAAAGTATAAAAAAAAAAGATTTACTAGCAATTCTAAAGGCTCTCTAGTTAATTTCAAGCCATATATTGTTTCTGAAAATAAATTCACAGTTCAAAACAAACAAGAAAATGTGATGTTTCTTTTGCAGGTAATTTACAGTCCATGAGTAATATATTATTTTAAAAAGAGGCAAATTTATATTAAATAAATAAAAATATTGAAAATACATTCTTATAGAGTTAATGGAAGTATTTATATACTCCTGAAAGGAATGAAAGAGTACAGAGTTCACTAAATCAAGGTTAACTCTCAACTTGATCTCACATATGTAGTTAGCTAGAAGATAGATTTTATCTGTGCTACATTTGAAGGCTCAGTATATATTCTTATTTTCACCTTTTGCTTCACTTCTACATGTTCTGATTTCAAATCCGTCTCCACAACTCTTTGAAATTTCTATCTTCCATTTACATAATGATGCTTGAAACTTTGTTTTAGGAGAACCTAATTAAAAGAAATAAAACGATCATACAAAAGCAATATTTATTTAGAAAGTAATTCAGAGTTGATGACACAAACAACAAATTACTGTCAAGGACTGCAGCCTCCAATATGGATTGAGGTTCAATGTCAAGAAGACAAAGATTCTCACCACTGGACCAATTGGCAGCATCAGGATGGGTGGTGAAGAGATTGAGATTGTTCACAGCTTTAGTTTGCTTGGCTCCACAGTCAACACTCTTGGCACCAACAGCCAGGAAATGAAAAGACTTACTGTGATGGGAAAGTCTGCTGTTAGGGACCTCTCCAAAGTACTGAAGAGCAATGGTGTCTCTCTGGAGACTAAGGTGCATCTGATACAGGCCATGGTCTTTGCAATCACTTGTTATGCATCAGAGAGTTAGACAATGACCAAGGAGGATAGAAGGAGAATTGATGCCTTTGAGCTGTGGTGCTGGAGAAGAGTATTGAGAGTACCATGGACTGCTAGGAAAACAAACATACTCATCCTGGAAAGGGTCAAACCGGGTGGCTCCTTGGAGGCAAGGATTCTGAGGCTTCGTCTGTCATACTTTGGACATGTTGTAAGGAGGACCGGTCTTTGGAGAGGGACATCATGCTTGGGAGGGTGGAGGGACGGCGCAAGAGGGGAAGGCCCTCTATGAGGTGAAATGATTCAGTGACTGGGGTAATTGGGATGGGAGTGTCAGAGACAGTGTGATTGGCACAGGACAGGCAGAGTTTAGGGCTGTTGTACATATATGAGTCGCAAGGGACTCGATGGCACATAACAACAACAACAACAATAAGGATTACAACAAATAATACCCAGCAAAAAATACAATAAAATTAAGTTAATCATAAAGCATTTCCTTTACTTTGTTTAGTAACTTGTCTAATCCTCAATCTTCAAAAGGCTTAAGAAAGTAAGTCTTTTCTAGAAGTGGTTTTAAGTGCTACTGGGCACAATCAATGGAATTAGCATGACAGTGGGCTGGGAAGACTGTATTGTACTGTTTTATATTTCCCAACGAAGTGTGTTTATCCAGACGTATAAATGGCATGGCCCTATTTTATTTTTTATTTTGTTCAAGTTTTCACAGAAGCTTGGCAACACAGTGAACTCAGCATTGGGCAGCTAACAGAAACACTGGTAGTTTGAATCCACTGTGTAAATGAAAAATAAGCCAGCTGGCTTCAGTAAAGATTGAAAAGATAAATCTTTTCACAAAGCAAATGCCTCATCTCTGACTTGTAACCTTGTCACAAAGCAAATGCCTCATCTCTGACTTTTACTGGGCATCTGCTTTTGGTTGAAAACAACAACAAAAGATTTATAACCTTGAAAACCATATGCTACCATGGTTGTGTAATGTTGAGTCAGAACTGATGCATGGCTGACCATCCAGAGGGCTTTCAGAGGCAGTAAACAGCACGGGAGGAGAATGCCCATCTTTCTCCAGTGGAGCAGCTGGGAGACTCAAAGTGTGTACCATGGCACTGGCAGCACAATTCCTTACCACTAAGCCACCAGAGTTCTCTTGGAAACATATAAGGATGACCTCTTCTGTCCCAAGGTACTTTGAGCCAGAATTGACTTCACGGCAATAGACATTTATACACATAAATTAATACATATTTCGAAGGCTATTCTGATAGGTGCTGTCAAGTTATTCCCAACTCAAGATGACTCCATACATAACTGAATGAAATGCAGCACCAGTCCTATGCCTTGTCATGATCAATTTCAGATTGGACAATTGTGATCTATGGGTTTTCACGGATTGATTTTTTGAAGCAGAAGCTCTGCTGATGCCTGTTCAGCATCATAAAAACACGCAGACCCACTGACAGATGGGTGGTGGCTGCACATAAGGCGCACTGGCTGGGAATCAAACCTGAGTCTGCTGCATAGAAGGTAAGAATTCTACTAATAAATTACCAGTGCTGGAGATTAGAAAGAGTTAACTTCTTTTGTTAGCTCAATTACAAGTCACCATCACAGAAAAGCAATTAAGTTTACTTGCCTTTAAATATTTTACATCAACATTTCCCAAAATGGGTTATATAAAAACATTAAGGCTCAGAGCTTAGTTGGTAAAATGTTGAATAGTACAGGTATTTTCTGTTTAGTGAGACAAAAAAATGAATAATAGCATATTAAAGGTCTGATAAATTCTACAGGTGAAGGAATCTTCTTAACAGTGCTTGTCATAGTTTTCAAATCAAACAACTCTTCATCTTTCACTTTTAAAGAATGAGATGCATTAATATCTTGTTGAATCACTTTGGGAAAAATTTGCCATAGAGTTGATTTTGACTCATGGTGATCCCATGTTTCAAAGGAGATCTGTACTTGCTTAATGTTGCCAGTGGCTGATTTTTTTGGAAGCATATCATCAGGCATTATTTTTAAGGCATTCCAGGTGGACTTGAACTGCCAATCTTTTGAGTAGCATTCAATGCTACCTAGGGATGACAACTATAGAGACCTACATAAATGGTTTGAGCTTGAGAAAAATCGCAAAAACACATACATGAGTGTTTATAAATAAATAAATAAATAAATAAATAAATAAATAAGTATTTATAAATAAACACCAAAATCACCATAGACAAAACCCAACTAATAAGAACTCACAACTGACCAGGTTATAAAGCAATAGTTAAATTAAGACAAAAACCCAAAAACAAAACAACTAACCAAACCAAGATAAATGGTTTGAGCTTGAGAAAAATCGCAAAAACACATACATGAGTGTTTATTTATAAATAAATAAATAAATAAATAAATAAATAAGTATTTATAAATAAACACCAAAATCACCATAGACAAAACCCAACTAATAAGAACTCACAACTGACCAGGTTATAAAGCAATAGTTAAATTAAGACAAAAACCCAAAAACAAAACAACTAACCAAACCAAGAAACCTATCTGCCCTGCATTTTTAAGTTTAGGAACCAATTTTAAATAATTCTTTGGGTCATATAAATCTAACAAATTTCATCTATTTTCTTCAACTACTTTAGCGGTAAGAAGCTGTGCGGCAATCCCAAAGGCACGTGGTTCAAATCCATCTGCAGCTCTGTGGGAGAAGGATGGGCAATCTCCTCGCGTGTGACTGACTGCTTCTGAAAACCCGCTGGAGGGTCAGCGATGGGTTGTTTCTGACTTGATGGTGCACAACAAAACAACTTTAAACATTAGGAGCGCTGGTGGCCTAGTGTACGGAGTTATGCAGTCAATTCATAAAAAGGGAGTTTGAATCCTCCAGCTGATCCATAGGATAAATATGGGCAATCTCCACCTGTGCAATTTACAGCCTCTGAAAACTACTGGAGGGTAGGCTATTAGTCGGTTCTGACAACAACAACAACAACAACAACAACAACAACATTGTAATCTATGGGCTTTTCTATAAGATGGGGTTCAAATCACAGTATGCTACATACACCCTGTGTCTTTGGGCAAGGTTAGAATCTCCAGTCTGACTTTTCTTTGTTATTAAATGTAATATATATGAGAATAAAGTATGAGAGTACATGACGAAAAACACTTAGTAGAGTACCAGCCATCTAACAATAACTTTAAAAAAAACAATAACAAACAAGGCCATTGTAAATTACATTAACTAACAAATAAATTATTCTAGATTATAATAATTCAATTTAGATTCACATGATCAAACTGCTAAAATAGAAAAACTGCAAATTAAACAAATATTTTAAAACAAGACACTGCAAAGGGAATTTTAGTTAGATGTGTATTTTAGTTAATTCTCACACTTTATGTTATTAATGGCAAATGAATACATCTTAAATGCAATGAAAACAAAATAAATGCCTTCTTAGAAATTGAGAAGAAATTAATAAACTATCACCCTTTTAATTATTATCATTCTTAGTAAAACAGAGACACTAACGTACTTATCTGCTATGAAGTTCCTTCTTCAGACAGGATTTAAATGTGGGATACTTTTGAATTGTTTTATAACCCTTTGGAATAGAGAAACAAAAGCATGTAAATACAAATAAAATTATAAAGAAATAATAAGTATGAAATAAATAAAAATATTTAACACCAACAAAGTGATAGAGGGTAAAACCACAGTTAAATGTTTTTATTTGATCTTGTAATTCTGAAATCTTTGTTTTTAATGATTTTTGTGTGATTTGCGTGAAATAGTGAGGAGCAAAATGGGTTTATAGTCAACCATTCATACACAATTTGTTTCGTGAGAATGACTAGAACTGATTACAGTTTCTGAGGAAAGCTAAATGATTTGAAAAATATATTTTCTTTTGGTTATTTGGGCATCGTCTAAAATGTTAAGAGGTAACCACTAGGTGGCAGTTAAATACACAGTATCTTTATAAGACACTATACTTTCACTCATTCATTGCCTTAGAAATGGAATCAACTCATAACTGACCCTCCATATTTTAAGAGGCTATAAATTGCATGGGAGGAGACTGCCCACCTCTCAGAGCAGCTGGTAGACTCAGCGTGCCTGCCTTTGAGTTGGCAGCCCAACTCCCTACACACTAGTTAACAGTTTAAAATGAATGATGATATTTCACAAGCCCACACATTTATCTTTTAAAATGTTTAATATATAGGGCTATCTTACAAAGAGACAAGAATAAGTATTCTATGATTAATAATATAAAAAATATTTTCTTTTTCCATTTGTGCACATCTAGAAATATAAGATACAGAAATATTTACTGATTCGTGCTATACTTTTTTTAAAAAAAAGATTCTTAGGAAAAAAATAACAAAATTTATATTTTGCAATATGTTCACAGGGGAAAAAAGGTCAACAGAAAAAAAAAAGTATTTTCTAAATAAGTATTGAATGTGTAGTGCTGTATGTGCCTCATGTTTCCTTTGTGTCTATAGATGAGAAATAGTGGTATTTCTATGTATAAGTCTAGAAAGTCAGTGAGCAGACTGAAATTTTAAAAGAACACCTAGCAATATTTTTCCTCCCGCATACTTAAATAAAAGTATTAGTTGAAAATGAAAAGAAATAATTAAGTGAGAAATTATTTTATGTATTTTTTTAAAAACACTAACTTAAAATTTTAAGGGTTTTTTTTTTTAAATACTGGGAAGGGGTAAGATTTTTCATTTGAAATAAAACATTAAATATTTATATTCCTAACAATTTATAAAAATTATTTTTGAAACTTATTTTTTACTTTCAGGTTTTGCAAAAGAGAACAATAAGCTTGAAATTTATAAGTTTACCCGAAATCCTCTATGGAGTCTGTCTTTCATAATTCCAATAAATTCTTTGTAACTTAATTGATCATCTTTGTCAACATCGAAAATCTTGAAGACAGTGTTCACTAAATGTGGTGAAAGTTTGAGGCCAGTAGCTACATAGACAGCACGCTTAAATTCATCTAGATAGATATTACATAAAAAGAGCAAGAGTAGAACATTAACATTATCTTAAAAATATACATTAATGAACAGAAATCTTGTAATAGAAGTTGGTTTCTACACATATGAGTCATGATCTTATTTGCAACATGATATTTCAGTAATCATGACACTTTTAGGGAGCAAAAATTCCTATGGTTTTAATCATAAGAGCTAAAAAGTGGTATTTTAGCTTTATGATATATGATGATTCATTGAATGTTAATGAGCATTTACTGTTAGCAACCAATGCTCATGAGACCATTCAGGTGAATAAATTCTCAAAGAATTTACATTTCAAATGGGAGGTGAGACATTTGCCCCAAAAACTGTTACACAAAAGGCACTAGCAAAGTGCTTTGAGAATTTGGAGATGATGATTTTTGTTGGAAAAGTGGAGTAGGGAAAGGAGAGAAGGGAGTGATTAGGAAAGACTATGGTCTTTTCTGAGTCCTGAAGGATAGATAGATTCTGGCTTTTAGAGATGAGAGAAATGGCAGATAAAATGGAGGGAAATGAACAAAGGCATCAGGGTGGACACAGAATACAGTCATTTTCAGAGGAGAGTCTGGGTGAGCAGTCAGTCTGGGTAGGTCCAGGGCAACAGAGTATAAGAACTTCAGAGAAGACAGTGTGATAAAGAATTTATGCACTTTGTAGGCAATCTGAAAGTAGAAAAGTTTTCTAGAGCAGGGCTATTATGGAAAGGATAATCTGTATTTCAGAAAAATTATTTTGTAAATTCTCTAGAAATACTGAAGAGTATTAATGGACAGAAGTCTGGTATTCCAAAACCTTCACGTGGAGGTAGTGTGGGCTATGACTCATGGCACTACATTTTAGATCTTGTGGCTCTCTACATGCAACTCTCTTTGTTATCATTAACCAATGATCTTCTAATTATTATTTGGTTTTCATGTCTACCTACAGAAAAAGAATGAGCTGGCCTTAAGGACAGTAACATTCAATTTTTATGACAGCTGTAATTATCTTTGTAAATTTATAAACAAAATGAACTTGAATTTTTATAAATTGTTTTAAAAACTTGGTTAAGCGGAGTCCTTTGCTAAGAACTGACTGCTGACAAGTCAGGTTTCCATGTCAGTACAGCCTGTGAGTAAAATTAGCCAAGCTAAGAAACATCATCCTGTGAGGATGTCTAGCAAAGCTAACTGGCTTTTTCTCTAGGTAGACATACACACCTCGATACTATCAGGTGGCCATGAGGTTTCTTATACTTTTTTAAACCTTCCAAAACATTATTATAGTTTCTCTATAATATGAAATAAAGGGCAATATAAATACAAAATTTAGCATATTTCCTATAATTTTGCTTCTTGTAGTTGTGTACCACAGACTTGGATCCAATCCATAGCTGACCTTCCAACAGGCTTTCAGAGGCAGTAGTCGTGTGGGAGGAGATTGTCCATCCCTCTCCTGCAGAACTTTGCTTCGTTTTCTTTCTTTAAAGTATTAGAACTTACTTCCTATTAAAACTATACATCAATGACTTTCAGACAAGATGATGACTTTGATGACATTTCTAAATAATGGCACCAATATTCTTTAAAAAATGTACATTTATTTTTTGCTGTTAATTTTGAAAAGCTGATTACTTACCTTGCCCTATAGAACGACTCGCAAAGTTATACATATTCAGAGCAATTGCAAAGTCTTCTAGGTTATTCAGAAACTGGAAAAATGACCTGAATTCATCAAAGGTGATGCCCTATAGTGAGAAAATATATGTACATATATTAACCTTGTCAAATTTATTAATTCAACTATCTATCTACATGCTACAGAAAAAAAGCAGATTAAAGACTATTTATCATGAAGTAAATTTTTATAGAGATTATAAACTTTACTTCTCCAAGAAAATATAAGATTCAATTAGATTTATTTTCAGTGAGTACACTAGCTCCTCTCGTGCGATTTGCAGCCTCTGAAAACCACTGCAGGGCCGGCTATGAGTCAGTTCTGATATGATGACACACAACAACACCACCACCACCAACACTGTTTCCATTACTAGCAGTAACAGGAAAAAGATTTTAAAATCACTATGAGTATTCAGGTCCAAAAATGGTATAATAAAGGTGAATGAAAAATTATTTTTTTTTGAAAAATTAATTTTTAAAGCACTCTATTTCAGACTTGAATCTTCAACAATGAAAGTAAATGTGATTAAGAAAACAAAACTCCAAATATTGATAAAATAGTAAAAATTACAAGTTTCCTCTGTACATGTACCCCTTAAATATGATCCAGCAGTAGAGCATTAATGTCTACAAAATAATATTATAAAATGAAAGTGTGATATTAGCTTCAACATCAGTTTACTTCCCATTACCCTGGTGATGGTAACGAAGCCAAGGTAGCAATAGGAAGTAAATGTCCATCAACAATGAACATATTGAGAAACTGTGGTATATTCATGCAATGGAATACTATGCAGCACTCAAAAGTAATGATTTACTAATACATTGTTGGTGAAATGGTACAACCACTTTGGAAGGAAGTTTGATGTTTCCTCAAAAAGCTGAACACAGAAATTCCATATGACCCAGTTTTTCCACTGCTTGGAATATGGATTGAGAAATTTTGGTACATTCACAGAATGGAATACTATGCAGCATGCAGGAGTAGTGATATTGTAAATTACTACCTACCATGGGAGGGGTTGGAGAACATAATGCTAAGTGAACTCAGTCTCATAAAGACAAATAATGTATAGGACTATTATTGTAGAGCATGTATGTGGAACCAAGAAGTGGAAGGGGGAGCTTAAACATAAGGTTAAATAATTTGATGGGTGGAGAGAGGTATTGGTGAAGGAAACGGGAAAGGTCCAGTGTGAAAAACAATGTATATGAACTTTGTATGTAAACCAGTATAAAATACTTTTTTTAAAAAAAAAAACCACTGTTAAAACAAGGATTATAAAAAACCCCAATGATTTAGAAAAATATGGGAGAGGCTAGAGAGCACTATGCTGAGTGAACTAACTCAATCTCATAAGGACAAATACTGCTTAAGACCATTATTGCAAATAAAGAAGGGTAACCAGTAAGATGTGTACAAAAGTCCAAATGAGGAAGGGGAGGAAGAGGGAGTCACAAGGTTGCAGAATTTGGTGGGCAGAGTGAGGAGGTGAAGGATTAAGAAATATCCGTGGGGACCTGAAAAGGTGGGTTGGTCGTGGGCATGAATCAATGATGATTAATTTTTTAAATTTTATTTTATTAATCTTAATGAACGTTTACAGGGATTTTGGATTTTCATTCATGTACTTTTTTTTTACCCCCTCGCCCCTCCAGTTCACTACTCTCTTTGAAAAGCAAAAGATAAACTTCTTCGTTGGTCTACAATCCCCCCCACTCCCTATCCCACCCTAAATGCACTCCACTATTCAATCTTAATTCTGGATTCCTGTCATAATCATAATATGCTATCATATATCACTTTTAAACTGTTCTCTCCCTCATCTGTTTCAATTCAGTACACATAAATTGATCCAGTTGTGGAAAGTGGTATGCCGTGTTCTCAAAAAACTGGAAACAGAGATTTGACCCAGCAATTCCACTACTGGGAATATACCCTAAAGAGACCATAAATGGCATCCAAGCAGATATATGCACATTCATGTTCTTCGCGGCTTTGTTCACAATAGCTAGGAGTTGGAAACAACCTAAGTGCCCATCAACAAA